AGCTACACTCTTTGTGGTATTATTTGGTGGTTTCTCTAGGCTATTCAGTATGCATCCTTAGCTTATCACAATCTACTTACTTAATATTGTACCATTTTCTATATGATATAAAAACCTAAAACAGTATAATTCCATTCTTCCTAACTTTTATACTAGAACTGCATGTTCAACAGAACCCACCATACCATATTATTATTTTTGTTTTAAACAGTTGTCTTTCAAAGATGTTAAAAACAAAAAGTGGTCTTTTCACTTATCTAAATATTTATCAGTGTTCTTTATTACTTCATGTAGATTTATGTTGCTAGCTAGTGTAATTTCTCTGTTGCTTGAAAATTTTTCTTTAGCATAATGCAAATGTGCCATAATAAATTCTCTAAGCTTTCTTTCATCTAAAAATATACTAAGTTCACCCTCGTTTTTGGAGGATATTGTCTCTAGGTAGATTTCAAGGCTGATGGGGTTTTTTCTTTTAAAACTTTGCATATGTTGTGCCATTGTTTTCTGGCTTCCATTGTTTCTATTGAGAAGTCAGCTGTTATTCATCATTGTTCCCCTGTAGGTATGTGTCCTTTTCCTCTCACCGCTTTTAAGATGTTCTCATTATCTTTGGTTTTCAGCAGTTTACCTGTGATGTATCTAGATGTGCTCTTTGGTTTTCAGCAGTGTAGCTGTGATGTACCTAGATGTGCTCTTCTTTATCCGTATCCTGCTTGGTGCAGTGAACATCTGGATCTGTAAATCCATATCTGTCATCAAATTTCAAACATTTTTGGCCATTATTTCTTCATATATTTTTTCTGCTCCATTCTTTCTCTCCTCTCTCCTTGGGATTCAATGAAATGTAGGTTAGGCTATTTGATATTGTCTCACAGGATGCCAAAGGTCTATTCTATTTCAAATTTCTTCTGTTCATCAGTTTGGATAATTTCTATTGATTTGCCTTCAAGCCCTGGCTAGGCTCATTTCAGATACTGTAACTTTTAGTTTTATTTTCTTATTTTTAAAAATATTGGTTGGCCATGGTGGCTCACACCTGTAATCCCAGCACTTTGGGAGGCCGAGGCAGGTTGATCACCTGAGGTCAGGAATTCGAGACGAGCCTGGTCAACATGGTGAAACCCTGTCTCTACTAAAAATACAAAAATTAGCCAGGCATGGTGCCATGTACCTGTAATCTTAGCTACTTGGGAGGCTGAGGCAGGAGAATCACTTGAACCTGGGAGGCAGAGGTTTCAGTGAGCCAAGATTACACCACTGCACTCCAGCCTGGGCAACAGAGGAAGACTCCATTTCAAAAGAAAAACTTACTAGTTTTCATTTATCTACTGAGATATCCTATTGTTACACTCATTACAACCATTTTTTCTTTAAATTAGCAGTTGGCAATTTTTTTCTGAAAGGGTCAGAGAGTAAATATTTTAGGCTACCTGGCCATGTTACTCCACTGCAACTACTCAACTCTGCCATTATAGCAGAAAAGCAGCCATAGACAAAATGTAAATAAATGGGTGTGTCTTTCTTCCAATAAAACTTTATTTATAAAAATAAACCACTGACCATGGTGGCTCACTCCTGTAATCCTAGCACTTTGGGAGGCCGAGGCAGGTGAATCACCTGAGGTCAGGAGTTCAAGACCAGCCTGGCCAACGTGGTGAAACCTCATGTCTACTAAAAACACAAAAATTAGCCGGACATGTTGGCGCATGCCTGTAATCCCAGCTACTTGGGAGGCTGAGGTAGGAGAATCGCTTGAACCCAGGGGGCAGAGGTTGCAGTGAGCCAAGATTGCACCATTGCACTCCGGCCTGGGCAACAAGAGCAAAACTCTGTCTCAAAAATAAATAAATAAATAAATGGCAGCAAATCTGCAGGTCGTAGTTTACTGACCTCTGCTTTAAGACATTGAGCATACTTATTACGACTGTTTTAAACTCCTTTTGTGCTAATTCCAAAATCTGGGTCAATTTAGGGGTCTGATTTTTTTTTTTTTTTTTGACAGACTCTCACTCGCTCTGTAACCCAGGCTGGGGTGCTTGGCTCACTGCAACCTCCACCTCCCAGGCTCCAGCAATTCTCCTGCCTCAGCCTCCTGAGGACCTGGGACTACAGGCATGCGCCGCCACACTCGGCTGATTTTTTGTATTTTTAGTAGAGATGGGGTTTCACCATGTTGGCCAGACTGGTCTCTAACTCCTGACCTCAGGTGATCTGCCTGCCTTGTCCCCGCAAAGTGCTGGGATTACAGGCATGAGCCACCGCACCCAGTCAATCTTACGAGTCTGTTTCTATTGAGCACTTTTTTGAGTAGGTCAAGTAGGTCACATTTTCCTGTTTCTTCACATGTCTAGATTTTCTTTTAACTTGCTGGATATTATGAACTATACATTATAAAGGGTCTGGATTATCTTGTGGTCCTTTAAAAGGTAATGCATTTTGCTCTGACAGGCAGGTAAATGACTAGCACATCCTCTTGTCTATTAGGCTTGGTTTTAATCTTTGTAAGGGCGGGTCTATTTCGGTTTTGAAATTCATCCTAGGGGTATCTCTTTCTCTAGAGCAGGATTGGAAAACTACAACCCACAGCTCAGACACCTGTTTTTATAAATAAAACTTAGTATAACTATTCTTCTCTTAGCCCTCACAATGGACGATCAGGGCTAAGTCTCTCTAAGTTCTGCCCTGTTCAGGTTCAGACCAGCTCTTGGCTAAGAACCTGGGGTGGACCCCTATACATACTTTTTGAGCACCCTTCATGTAGTGCCCTCTCCAGAGCCCCACCCCACAAATCCCAGTCATGTCACGTCAATGAGCCCACCACTCTGCTTGGGCTCCACTTGGGTGCTGCCTGGGAGGAAAGCACCCCAAGAAGGAAGCCAGGGCAACCGTGGGCACCTCTCGTGTGTTTCCCTCCTCCCAAATCATGTAGCCCTGAGCTGCCTGTTGTTCAGCACCTGAAAGCACTTGCTGCATACATTTGGGCTGGTTTCACAGCTGTTTCAGCAGAAACGTAAGTTTTGGTCCCAGTTACTCTGTGATGGCTGGAAGCAGAAGTCTTCACTGGTTTTTCTGATTATTATCCATGTCTGGCTTTAGCAACAGATTTATCTTCTGATACGTGAAATATTGGTTGGTGTTGATCTATAATAAGTGCCAACAAATGGTACCAGTGATATGAGAAGTACAGAGAGACAATCTTTTGCGGGAGTTAAAGGTTAAAGTAAACGTCAGTCCAGTCTCTATCTGAATTACCATTCTCTTTTTCTGGACAGTGAAAAAAAGGAAAGGAACAGAACTACCATCTATTCCACCTCTGTTATTTTCTGGGCTTTCATCAAGTTACCTTAGTATATTATTTGCTGTAATCATTAAATCAATAAAATAATTATTATTACACCACAAAACTGAGCCTTAGAGAAGTAAAACAATAAAACTATGTAGCTTGTAAACTGCTGGAGCTAGAAGTTAGAAACCCATTTTTCTCCCTTCCCACCATGCTGCTGCTCTTGCCTTATCATGAGATTACCAGAATTTAGTGAGCACTTACGTTGCCTGTTCCTGTTCCACCGTAATTTCTAGCCCATGGAGCCCATTTAAATTGCTTTTGCTTAGTCCCTTGTTGGTTAGAGATGGGCCAAGCTGTCTGATTTCTCCCTACCTTTGGTTCCTTTTGTTTTGTTTTGTTTTCTTTTTGGAGACAGAGTCTCGCTGTGTCACCTAGGCTGGAGTGCAGTGGCGTGATCTCGACTCACTGCAACCTCCGCCTCCCGGGTTCAAGCGATTCTCCTGCCTCAGCCTCTCAGCCTCCCGAGTAAGTGGGACCACAGGCACATGCCACCACACCTGGCTAATTGTTTTGTATTTTTAGTAGAGACTGTGGTTTTCACCAGGCTGGCCAGGCTGGTTTCGAACTGCCGATCTCATGTGATCTACCCTTGGCCTCCTAAAGTGCTGGGATTACAGGCATGAGCCACTGCGCCCAGCCTCGCTACCTTCAGTTCTTAGGGGTGTCAGGAGAGTCCTGAGTCATTGGATGGGGATGGTCTTCTAGATGACAAGATGCTGGGCAGAAACTAAGTGCATAGAGAAGCTTCACTCAACCTGAACGACTAATACACAACCGGCCAACCCACAGCCATGAGTACAGCCAGCAGCCCTGATCAGCCTCCATGCGGGCTTCCATCGATGGAGAGGCCACAGAGTTCTGCTTTCCTGCCTCTTCCTGTCCCTGTCATCTCCCCGTCCACTTCCTTTATCCAGCATGTGATATTTCCCCCCAAAATCTAATCTCTTAAAGCAGAGAAACTGTTGCAAAGTAGGCAATGGAATTATTTTTCTGATTAGACCTGTGCCACTTTTCCTTGTAACAGTTTAATGTTTGACCACTGCTTCTGGTGTCTTTAGTGAGATTCCAGGGTCCATTTTTCAGACTGAGGGAGGGTAAGGTCTTCATAATATAAGAAGGTATTTGGTGAACTCAGAGGTGAGCAGGTGGGTGAGAAACACACATTTCCTATTTGCCAGACATTGAGTGAAGTTCTTTCTGTATATTTCTCAAAAAATGGCACAGAGTCATTAATTATAGAAAGTCTAACAATTTGTATATCCTGAAAAGTATTTTGCACAGACACATTTTGCCCCTCAATTAAATGTACGTAACTTTGCTCCTTCCTTTCTTCACTTTCCTTGGCCCTCCTCTCTCCGTACTTGCTTGACATGAGGCATATTCAGAATAAAACCTCATTAATTTCTACTCATCTAGTTTGAAATACATTGTGCTTTGGAGAGGAGCTTGGTCGTAGCTAACTTTTGAGCCAGCTCTGATTCAAAGGTTTCTGAAGAACAATGTAGCAGCCTTAGTTCCTTTCTCACAAAAAGTGGGGCATACCATCTTTTAAATAAAGTGAAGAAATATGTGATGAAAGTTATTATAGGATTAAATATGTGAGTACTTGCTCGAGGCCTCTTGAGCTCCTAATAGTCTTCTTTTTGCTTTGCAGAGCTCTGTGACGATGACCCGCCAAAAATCACACATGCCACATTCAAAGCCGTGGCCTACAAGGAAGGAACCATGTTGAACTGTGAATGCAAGAGAGGTTTCCGCAGAATAAAAAGCGGGTCACCCTATATGCTCTGTACAGGAAACTCTAGCCACTCGTCCTGGGACAACCAATGTCAATGCACAAGCTCTGGTAAGTGTCCCTTCTGTGACTACCGAGAAAAAGAGAACTGCAGCAAAGAGTGAGACAAAGCCCAGCTTTGGTTCACTCAGCCCTATAGACACAAATGGGCCAGTCCAGTCTACAGGATAACTAATTTTAGTGGTTCCTGAAATAGTCATTCACTAAACACAATTTTTTTTTTTGAGACAGAGTCTCACTCTGTTGCCCAGGCTGGAGTGCAATGGCGCGCAACCTTGGCTCACTGCAACTTCCGCCTCCCAGGTTCAAGTGATTCTCCTGCCTCAGCCTCCTGAGTAGCTGGGATTACAGGCTCCCAAAAGCACGCCTGGCTAATTTTTGCATTTTTAACAGAGATGGGATTTCACCATGTTGGCCAGGCTTGTCTCGAACTCCTGACCTCAAGTAATTCGTTCGCCTCAGCCTCCCAAAGTGCTGGGATTACAGGCATGAGTTACCGTGCCCGGCCACACAATTCTATTTTTATTTTTGAGACAGTCTCACTCTGTCACCCAGGCTGGAGTGCAGTGGTGCAATCTCAGCTCACTGCAACCTCCACCTCCTGAGTTCAAGTGATTCCTGTGCCTCAGCTGCCCAAGTACCTGGGAGTACAGGTGTGCACCACCATGCCTGGCTAATTTTTTTATTTTTAGCAAAGATAGGGTTTCACCATGTTGGCCAGGCTGGTCTCAAACTCCTGGCCTCAAGTGATTCTCCTGCCTGGGCCTTACAGGCTCACACCACCATGCCTGGCTAATATTTTGTATTTCTTGTTAGCGATGGGGTTTCCCCATGTTGTCCAGGCTGGCCTTAAACTCCTGGGCTCAAGCAATCCTCCTGCCTCAGCCTCCCAAAGTGCTGGGATTATAGGTGTGAGCCACCACGCCTGACCTAGACACCCTCTTTTATCCTGAGCCAGAATTCTGATCACCCCCCTCATTGGGGCACTCAGACTCAACTCCTTTGCCAAATTCTTCACAATAGACAGGACTGTTCTAGAAGTTTCTTTGTCATTTTGTTAAGATGGTGTCTCTAACTTTAAGCATTCTGAGCAGTCTTAGGGAGCAAAGGATCAGTGCGTTGTGGAGTGAGACCACTTCTGCTGCCGTCAAACAACTCAAAAACAATTGATAGCAAGCAAGGAGTCCCTTTTGGTGAGACACACACACATACACACATAACATACATGACATACACAGACACGCATACACACGTTCAAATACATGTCGTGGGCATTGCCATATGCACATGAATACCCAGAGGCCGGTGCTGGGAGGTGTGCGAGCAGGCCCCACCCGAGGGAGGGCGTGCTCTGGTTTCATCTTTGTAAGCTCAGCAGCCAGACACCGCCAGACACATCGTGGGCACTGGACAAGTGTGCTTCTCAAGTGAATGAATACATGAACGGTGTTTTCTATTAAGCATTTGTGGAATTATCTGCATCATTCCATCTATATTTTTTAGCTGCTCGGAACACAACAAAACAAGTGACACCTCAACCTGAAGAACAGAAAGAAAGAAAAACCACAGAAATGCAAAGTCAAATGCAGCTGGCGGACCAAGTGAGCCTTCCAGGTGAGAGATGAATCTGCCCTCCAGCTAACTCCTGAGAGCCCACCCTTCTCTTGCAGGTGGATGATGTGTATCCAAGGGAAGAAAGTTTGCCCTGCCTTCTGTAAACACATGCATGTTGCTCCCTCCTCCCAGGACATCATTGCAGACAAGAGCTAGTGCAGAGCTGCCCAAAGGCTGTTTGCTCAGCAACTCGAGCCAATCTGACGGCAGCCAATCCAGGTCTGGGCTCACTCCCTGGTTTGGTAACTGGCCAAATAGAATTCAACCCAAATTCAACTCAACTTACAATCATCTGTTGGGTCTGTGTGCCAGGCCCTGCTGACAGGAGACACAAACAAGATTGTGACAACGATCCCCGCCCTCCAGGAAACGCTCTGCGTCTTCCCCTTAAGCACAAAAGAACGCACCACAAAAAAATTATTCACTTCCCCATATTTCTTGCAGGGTAAGGTTGTAAAATGGACATGCCACACTTGTGAGTCTCAAAAGTTTCAGACGCATGTGTCCTGGCCAGCAGTCTGTGCATGAGTGAGCACTGCGGCTGTTCCTTGCCTGCCCTCAGCTTTCCCATGACTGAATGGTGGTTCACTCATGGTGTCAAGAAAATGGGCCAGGCGCAGTGGCTTATGCCCGTAATGCCAGCACTGTGGGAGTCCGAGGCGGGCAGATCACTTGAGGTCACAAGTTCAAGACCAGCCTGGCCAACATGGTAAAACCCTGTCTCTACAATCATACAAACATTGGCCGGGCATGGTGGAGGGCGCCTGTAGTCCCAGTTACTCAGGAGGCCAAGGCACGAGAATTGCTTGAAATCAGGAGGCGGAGGTCGCAGTGAGTGGAGATTGCACCACTGCACTCCAGCCTGGGTGACAGAGGAAGACTCTGTCCCCCCTCAAAAAACAAAACAAAAAAGAAAAAAGAAAAACAGAACCTGCTAGGAAGAATTGAGCTTTCTAAGGTCAGGGGCTGACCTTAGGAGACTTCAGAGCCTTTTGCTAATTTTACAGCCTTACAAAGAACTGTATCAGGCACCATCCCATTTGAGCCTGGCAATACAATGAGTCAGGACCAGGAAGGGTTACTTCAATTTACTGAAGAAACTGAGATGCAGAAAAGATCAAAAGATTTGGCTAAGCTCACATAGTAGGGCTGGAATCAGACCTCAGGTCTCCCCGATTAGATGAGGAAACTTTCTCCTGATTACTTATTTTAAAAGAGTTTGAGTTTATAGCTTCCATCATTTTATTTTTTTAAACAGACTAATCTAAGGGCACAGTTGCAACACGATGTTCTTACTCCTTCCCCCTCCGACTTTGTCCTGGACTGGTGTTTCCAAGCACATTTGTTTGTTTTGTTCTTCTTCCCCCATATCACCCTGCACAGTTATTGGAAAGCTTCAAAGAGGCCAGTGCTTAGTGTCCTTTCTCCAAGGCTGGCTCTGCCTGAGGGATGTTTCAAAGATTGTCTCAGTTTGGGTGTTTTCATTGGAAAGAAACAAATGCAATTCCAACATGTTCAGACAGTTATGATTTGTATTGGTTGTCAAATAACCTTTTATCCTGAGACAAAAACACAAGTTCAGTCGTGATGTTCAACGTGCCACACGACAGGAGCCAGCCTGGGACAGGACCACCCAGCTTTCTGCTGGGCCAGAGGCTCTGTTGGGTATGCAGGGTTGGGGAGAGTCTGGAAGTTCAGAGCACGTGTGCAGTTTCACAGGCTAAGGTTAGAGGGCACATACAATTCCATATGTCCAGGTTGGGGGCTGTGGGTGGGGAATTCAGAGATTTAATCAGAATAAGACATGGTCTCAGGCCGCAAGTCAGTCAGACCTGGGATGTAGTTGGGTGAGTGGAAAGTTCTGGGAATGGGAAATTTTGAGAAGCCTTGAAAGGGCACATGTGTGTCAAGCTTCAGTGTGGCTTGATCAGAGATGGTGCTCCATTTCTCTGAGGTTCCCTCAGCCCGTCCCTCCTCCTGGCTTTGGGTTGCCCCCAGTCCTTCCGCCATCATCCCAAGATGTCCACCGGCCGCCCCCAAGAATGTGCTTCCTCACTTGTCCAGCAGAAATCCAAGGTGGTCTTCATGCTCCATTGGCCCAAATAGGCTTGAGCCTGCCCTTGTGTCTCAGCGGAGACTGACCCGCCCACTCCTGTCCACTGTCAACCCCTGCACTGTCTTCCAAGAGCTGGCTGTGGTGTTCCTCTCTCGGGGCAGCACCAACCGGAATAAATCGCTCATTCCTCTGTGTCCCCATCGCCAGCGTCTGCTATCCTTCACATGCCTTTCTTACACAATCCACTGTCCGCCCCTTGCAGGAGTGACAGGGTCTTCATGCCTTCCTGCGGGGCCTAGCGAACTTGCCCACGCTCAGATGTTCTCAACATATATTGGTTGAATGAAAGGATGAGCAAGCAGTCAAAAGAGTAAGAACCAAGGTCCAGTCCCTATCAAGAGGCAACCTGGACTCACTCGCAGTGCTGTCCCCAACTGCCTTCAGAGCATTCCTTCCATCTTCCAGGTCACTGCAGGGAACCTCCACCGTGGGAAAATGAAGCCACAGAAAGAATTTATCATTTCGTGGTGGGGCAGACGGTTTACTACCAGTGCGTCCAGGGATACAGGGCTCTACACAGAGGTCCTGCTGAGAGCATCTGCAAAATGACCCACGGGAAGACAAGATGGACCCGGCCCCAGCTCATATGCACAGGTGAAACGGAGCCCAGTCAGTTTCCAGGTATGGTGGCTCCCTTCTGGGATCCACAGTGTTGCTTTTCTCCATCAGGCTGACCAGGGCGGAATCCCTGACCTCTCCTGCTGTGTGTCCTTAGACAAGCCCCTTGATCTCCCTGGGCTTCCCCTTTTTCTCATTCTGAAAAAAAAATTTTTTTTTAAATAGACCAGATGGACTCCAAGGGCTCCTTCAATGAAGGTTCCCCTGTGCCCTGAGTGGGGAGAAAGGTTGGAGACAGAAGAGAAGGAAAGCTCTCTCCTAAGCACCCTAGATGCTGCCTCATAGTTGGTCCTGAGTCCACTACTTCTCTAAGCCACCGAGGCCTCCTCTGGCTCCAAGGGCAAGTCCAGTTTCCCACTCACGCATTTTTCCTCTTACTGGTGATCGTGCAAATGCATGATTTGAACAGTACTCTGCAGTCAGCATGCTCCTTGCCCATGTGCCATTCCCCAGCGGAGCTTGGATAAATCAACACAAAATGTGCAGTGTCGGGACTTACTCAGTGCACATGCACACACACACATGCATGCAAACGCTCAGCCCATCGATGTTGAGGCCTCCTGCTATCTTCCTTCTGAAATCTTATTAGTATCGCGACAATCAAAAGTGACTTACATGCAGGCTGGGCGCGGTGGCTCATGCTTGTAATCCCAGCACTTTGGGAGGCCAAGGCGGGCAGATCATTTTAGGTCGGGAGTTCGAGACCAGCCTGGCCAACATGGTGAAACCCCATCTCTACTAAAAATATAAAAATTATCTGGGTGTGGTGGTGGGCACCTGTAATCCCAGCTACTTAGGAGGCTGAGGCAGGAGAATTACTGGAACCCAGAGGGTGGAGGTTGCAGTGAGCTGAGATCACATCACTCCACTCCAGCCTGGGGCAACAGCAAGACTCTGTCTCAAAAACAAACAAACAAACAAACAAACAAAAAAAGCGACTTACATTCAACCACAAGTATTCCTGGTTTTCTTGCTCACTGCACTTCTCATACTCCATGTCCTTCTCTTGGGTTCCCTGGGGAGGCTGTTTTGTTCCCGTAGCAACCTCGCTGGGCCACCCTGACAGCCAGGGAATGCCTGCCGCTTCCTTGCAAGAGGGTGAGAGGCAGGGCAGAGCCAGGACTGCTACCCCTCAGGAGGACTGGAGAACCTGGCACAGAAGCAGCTGTCCCTTAGTGCATCTCTGCTCCATCCAATGGTTCAGTGACATTTGTATTATTATGACCTGTTTCCAAGTCACAGATGGAAACCCGGACTGAGTAGGGAGGCTGGGGAGAAACCATTGCTCAGAGATCTGGGGACAGCCAGGGTCAGAGTTAGAATTCAGCCTCGTCTGCTCTGCTGAGGCCACTTCACAGCTTCCCAGTGCCCCTGGTGTGGAACCATGTGGGGTGGCATCCCCAGCGAAGTGCCCACACCAGGATTCATGCCTCCTTAGGATATCTGGGGCCGGCTGCCCAGGGCAGGCGGGGTGGGAGTGAGGCCCTGACTCCTGTCTTTAGCTCCACCAGCATCACTCACTCTCTCCCCCAGGTGAAGAGGAGCCTCAGGCAAGCCCCGACGGCCTTCCTGAGAGTGAGACTTCCCGCCTCGTCACAACAACAGGTGCGGGAGAAGACAGACGCTGGACCCCAGAGGCCTAGTCCAAAAGAGCAGGGGTGGCCAGGAGCCAGGCTCAGAGAGATGGGCAGAGGTGACCTGTAGGGGAGACGCCCACATCAGCCTCCTCTCCCTCTCAGCAGGGAAAGGGCCTCAGCGACCTGCAGGCCCCAAAGCAAGTGTCAGAAAGAGGGAACCCAGGACCAGGACCAAGCACGGTCCCCAGGCAGAGATGGAACTCCTGTCCTCACCACCACCACGTGTCTCCTACCAGCCTCTGAGCTTCTCATCCACAGAGACGCCCTGACTTCCTTTAGCCTCGTGCCATCCTAAAGTCACAATAGCAGGAGTGTCTCTTTTTATCTCTTTTTCACAGATTTTCGAATACAGACAGAAGTGGCTGCAACCATGGAAACGTTCATATTTACAACAGAGTACCAGGTAGCAGGTGAGTGGGGCACTGGCTTTGTGGACAAAATGCACACCAGGCTGAGATATGGACAGGTTGACTGGTTGGTAGGTTAGTTGGTTGGTTGGTAGGTTGATAGGTAGGTTGGTTAGTTGATTGGCAAGTTGGTTTGTAGGTTGGGAGGTTAATTGGTTGGTTGGTTGGTTGGTTGGCAGGTTGGTTTGTATGTTGGTGGATTAGTTGGTTGGTAGGTTGGTAGATTGGCAGATTGGTTGGTTAGTTGGTTGGTAGTTTGGTGGGTTAGTTGGTTGGTAGTTTGGTTGGTAAGTTGATAGGTTGGTTGGTAGGTTGGTTGGTAGGGTGGTAGGTTGGTAGTTTGGTTGGTTAACTGGTTGGTTGATTGGTTAGTGAGTTGGTTGGTAGATAGTTTGGTAGATTGGGTGGTTGGTTAGTTGGTTGGTAGGTTAGTTGGTTGGTAGGTTAGTTGGTTAGTTGTTTGGTAGGTTGGTTAGTTGGTTAGTTGATTGGTAGGTTGGTTGGTTGACTGAAAAGACCCCTTCCTTACACTGCAGAATGTGTGAGTGAAAAGCTAATCCAGATGCTGACAGCTCAGAATCCCATGAACCAGTTACAGGATGCTGTGAGCGAAATCTCAAGTCAGTCGCATCAGCCCCTCTCAAGCTGATCTGGAAGGGCTGTACCCTGAGCCTCTGTCAGGGGTCAACAGTGGGAGGAAGGAGCCATGTAGCCAGGCAGAGAGGACAGGCTTCCAGAAACATGGCCGTCGTTTCCTGGTAGGAGGGAAAAACACACTCTGAGGTTGCATCTGCCTAGAAAGTAAATAAACGTCAGGCTCCAGAACCTCAGCAGAGCAGTATCCGGAAGACCTGAACCCTTCCAGGAGACGTTAATGTGCTTCTCATTATCTGCATATTTTAACATTTCTTTTACCAGGCGCTCTCGGTGTCCTTAAACAAGGCCTGGCCTCTGAGCCTTTCTGAGGGGCTTGTGTGAGAGAAGGGTGCATACTGAGGGGAAGCTCCCTCCACCCTCACCCTGTCCTCCCCACCCTGTTCCTCAGGACTCCTAGGAAATCCCACGGGGAGGGACCTGCGTCCTGAGACGGGGAAGAGAGGCTGCAGCCTCCACCTTGCTCTTTGGGGATGTCCTCAGCCTGCCCTGTGGGCCTGGCTCCTGCTGCCCCCATGCCAAGCCCAGGGCCCTTTGCTGAACTCCCTCTCTCTATTGACAGTGGCCGGCTGTGTTTTCCTGCTGATCAGCGTCCTCCTGCTGAGTGGGCTCACCTGGCAGCGGAGACAGTAAGTGCGGTATCACCAAGGCAGCACACGGTCAGATCAAAGTCCTGCACCCAGCCCTGCCCACCCTGCCCCATGCTCGCTCTAATCACCTGCAGTTCAGGGACTGGCAAAAGGAGAGGCCAATCCATGCCTCCAAGAGTCAGTAAAAAAGCATTAAAGCACCGCCAGGTGCGGCGGCTCACGCTGGTAATCACAACACTTTGGGAGGCCAAGGCTGAGTGGATCACCTGAGGTCAGGAGTTTGAGACAAGCCTGGCCAACGTCTCTACTAAAAATACAAAAAATTAGTTGGGCATGGTGGCAGGTATCTGTAATCCCAGCTACTCAGGAGGCTGAGGCAGGAAGATCGCTTGAACCTGGGAGGCAGAGGTTGCAGTGAACAGAGATCGCACCACTGCACTCCAGCCTGGGTGACAGAGCAAGACTCTGTCTCAAAAAACAAACAAACAAACAAACAAAAATTAAAGCACCAGGGAAACGGGAAGGCAAAGGAGCCTCACATTCATTGAGCACCTACTATACACCAGGCTTGATGCTTGTTTTATAAACATTATTGAAATCTACCTTCTCAGAAACCTTTGGAATAGCTGTGGCCTAGAGAGATGCAACAGCTTGAAGAAGATGGCACAGCAGAAGCCAGCACTGCAGCTTGAATCTAGAGCCCATGGTTTTCCCACCCAGCCCCTACCTATAGAGGACCCAGGGCAGCATCTGTGCTGAGCTTTGCCTATCCTGTGCTCCCCACCCTCCTTTCTGCAGAGGCTCACACCAGTATCCCCTTGACCAGGAATGTAACCCATGTGTGGTCTTTTTGCATTAACTCAGATTTCCAACCCTGGATGCCTCTTAGAACATCCAGGAGAGAGTCTTCTAAAATACCAGTGAGTGGCAAGGTCCGAGTAAATGCCACAGGAAAAGGAAGGCGGTCCAAAGGGCTGTGCTTCTCCTGTGGCTCAGTGTTATTCATAGCTGTGACATCTTTTAAGAGAGGTTTACAAGAGGGAAATCATGTCACCAAAACCATTGTGACCCACTTTCAATTTGGGGGGAATCTTCATTTGCAACAATAGAAGAACAAATTTGTTGCAATAAGAAATATTTTTGTAGCTTATGTAGGTTGTTCAGCCAAAACAGCATAATAATTTAAAAAGTTAAAAGATAGGCCAGGTGCGGTGGCTCACGCCTGTAATCCCAGCACTTTGGGAGGGTGAGGCAGGTGGTTATCTGAGGTCAGGAGTTCGGGACCAGCCTGGACAACATGGTGAAACCCTGTCTCTACTAAAAAATACAAAATTAGCCGGCATGGTGTTGAGCACATGTAATCCCAGCTACTTGTGAGGCTGAGACCAGAGAATTGCTTGAACCCAGGAGGCAGAGGTTGCAGTGAGCCAAGATCGTGCCACTGCACTCCAGCCTGGGCAAAAAGAGCGAAACTCTGTCTCAAAAGAAAAATAAAAAGGTAAAAGGTATCAATGACTGGGCTCCAATCAGAATCTCTGGGGGTGAACCCAAGACATCAGTACCTATTTTTAATTGAGATCAAATTCACCATTTAACTGTCATAAAGTGTACAGTTTATTGGTGTCTTAGCCCGTTTTGTGCTGCTGTAACAGAATGCCTGATACTGGGTAGCTTATAAAGAACAGAGATTTATTTCTTACCATTTTGGAGGCTGAGAAGTCTGAGGTCCAGGGGCCCCCATGTGTCAAGGGCCTTTGTGCTATGTCATCCTGTGGCAGAAGGCAGAAGGGCAAGAGAGTGAGAGAGAGCAGGAGAGGCTGAACTCAGCTTTTATCACAAACCCACTCCTGCAATAACAACATTAATCCATTCATGAGGCAGAGCTCTCGTGACCTGATCACCTCTTCAAGATCTCACCTGTCAGCATTGCTGGATTAGGGATTAAGTTTCCAACACATGAGCTCTGGAGGGTGTATTCAAACCACAGTTAAGTGGTATTTAGTATATTTGCAATGTTGTGCAGCCATCCCCACTGATTCCAGAATACTTCCGTCATTCCCAAGAGAAGCCCCGCACTGCCAAGTTCCGCATTCTCCCCAGCCCCGGGAAACCACTACTCTGTGTTCCTTCTCTATGTATTTGCCTATTCTGGACATTTGGTGTGAATGGAATCATGTGGCCTTTTATGTCTGGGATAGTTGTACGTTTTAAAGCCCCTCGGATGTATCTAATACATATGCATCCAGGTTTGACAACCCTACACTAGGCCATTGGTTTTCAAACTTGAATTTGCACCAGAATCATCTGTAGGAACATAAAGAAATGATAAATGTTTGAGATGATGGATATGCTAAATACCATGATCTGATTGCTGCACATTGCAGGTATCAAAGCATCCCTACATACCCCATAAATATGTGTAACTATTGTGTGTCAACTTAAAAACGTTTGTTTAAAGAATCATCTGGAGGGCTCCTTGAAGCACAGATTGCTGGGTTTCACCCGTGGAGTCTCTGCTGCAATCGTCTTGTCTTGCTTAGGTCTGGGAATCTGCATTTCTATCAGGTTCCCACGTGATACTGATGCTGCGGTTCCAGGGAGCAGACTCTGAGGATCACCGCACTAGGATAACAGCATTAAGAATCAGGGAAGCTGGCCACACTCACGCTTGTAATCCCAGCACTTTGGGAGGCCGAGGCGGGTGGATTACTTGAGGTCAGGAGTTCGAGACCAGCCTGGCCAACATGGAGAAACCCCGTCTCTACTAAAAATACAAAAATTAGCTGGGCGTGGTGGTGTGGGCCTATAATCCCAGCTACTCGGGAGGCTGAGAAGGAGAATCACTTGAACCCCGGGAGACGGAGGTTGCAGTGAGCCGAGTTCATGCCACTGCACTCCACCCTGGGTGACAGAGCAAGACTCTGTTTAAAAAAAAAAAAAAGGAAAAAAAAAAAAAAAGAAAGATAAAGAAAAAGTAAACTCTAGAAACTCACTCTGTATCTCTCTTGATTATCCAGGGCCTCCCTGACCCCTGCCAGCATATATTCTGGCCAACCCTAATACAAACTCCACAGTAAGACCCTGAGAAAATGCAGATCCACGCCCCCAAAACCGAAGCACTTAGCCTAGCCAGAGAGAAAAATAAAATATCTCTTCCTTTCTTATATGGGTCATCAGGCCCATAATATACCCTAATTTTCCTCCTGGAATTTAAAAGTATAAATTACTGCAATGCAAATGATAAGCCTCCCAGGGTTATTGTAGCAGGAATGATCCATATAACTGACAGTCTACCAGTTTCTCTAAGGGGTCAGCGGATTCCCAAGGTGTCATTTTAGGATTCCAGGAGGGGAAGGATGTGACATGGCTGACGTGTTGTAGGTGTACTCAGTACTTGCATCCTCTCCTTCCTCAGGCTGAACACTTGACAAGCCTTAACACCTTACAAGGATTTTTTTTCATTTGTTAGTTTGAAGACCAAAAGCCTTCGGGCCCAGAGGACAAAGCTATTTGGAAGTAGGAATGGTTCAGTGTTGATGTTGTGAAACAAAGAACTGTGTGAACCTATGTGAGTTCCCACAAAGTCTCCCAGAATTACAGTCTTTAGGGAGACTCAAACATACATCTAGAAATGACTCCTCTAGTCAGTTTGTCCAAAATCCTTCCTAGAATCTGCTATCAACTCGTGGTGCCCTCTTGTGGCAACAGAAAAGCTGCATTTGAATTACCGAAAGATCACTGTAGCCTAGCCAAAGAGAGTTTTGTTTGGGGAAATATTTTTTGTTTGTTCTGGGCAATGACCAGGAGTCCGTGACGTGCTAGAGAAGGCTCACGGTGGCTTGTGAGAGGCAGCAGTTAAATTTTCAGGACTTCTGCAAACTGGTTTTTAAGCATAGCCATTATGTAAAACTAAAGCATTTAGGCTGGGAGCAGTAGCTCCTGCCTGTAATTCCTGCATTTTGGGAGACTAAAGTGAGAGGCTCGCTTGAGACCAGCCTGGGCAACAAAGCGAGACCTTGTGTCTACAAAAACATTTTAAAATTAGCTAGGTGCGGTGGCACATACCTGTAGTCCCAGCTACTGGTAAGGGTGAGGTGAGAGAATCCCTTGAATCCAGGAGTGCAAGGTTGCAGTGAGCTGTGGTCACGCCACTGCATTTCAGCTTGACTGACAAATTGAGCTGCTGTCTCAAAACAATAAAAAAATAAAAATAAAATAAAGTATTTAAATTTACAATTCAATAAACTACATGAAAATCAAAGACAAGAATTACTTACAACTAATCACTTCCTAATTATTTGCTACATTTTACTGTTATCTTTGTTCCCTGGGTGGTTTACATCGATTGTGTCTGCATGGTGGAAATACCGTTCAACGGTGGCTACTACGCAGCTCTTTCCAATCACGTGGTCAGTGATGTCACATTGCCAGCTGGAAGCTGGGTGTGGAGGGAGGATTTACACCAGGGAAGATAGGCAACGTCGTCAGAGAGCTGCTTGTTAAACATCACCAGCACACCTCTGCTTGGAGCCTTTTGCTGTGGGAACTCTGTGTGAAGTAGGGAGTAATTAGAAATTCCCATGAGCCAAATAAGGACTGGGAAAAGACTAAGACCGTATTGTCCAATACAGTAGCCACTAGCCACCTGCGGATACTTAAGTGTATTTAAACTCAAATAAATTAAATACCATTAAAACTTCAGTTCCTCGGTTGCACTAGCCACATTTCAAGTATTCCCTAGCCACGGGTGTCTGTGTTATTGGACAGCACAACTAGAAAAGATTTCCATCATCTCATAAAGTTCTATAGCAGAGTGCTGGCTAGAAACTAAGTGCTTTACTGCATGCAAATCATTTAGCACAGTTAGTTGCTGTTTATTATTCTTGTTCCACAGCTATTGTCTGCTGTATAGTTTTTAAAAACTTAGGCCAGGCGCAGTGGCTCATGCCTGTAATCCCAGCACTTTGGGAGGCCGAGGCGGGCAGATCACAAGATCAGGAGTTCGAGACCAACCTCGCCAACATAGTGAAACCCCGTCTCCACTAAAAATACAAAAATTCGCCAGGCATGGTGGCGCGCACACTGGTTTAGAGTGGGGACCACATGTTTTTGGTGCCATATTACACATATGACCATGACTTTGTTACACCACTACAGGAGGAAGAATAGAAGAACAATCTAGAAAACCAAAAGAACAAGAACTTCTTGGTAAGAAGCCGAGAACAGACAACAGAAGTCATGAAGCCCAAGCGAAATCAAAGGTGCTAAATGCTCGCCCAGGAGACATCCCTTGTGCTCGCCTGGGTTTTGGAAGCTCTGAAGTCACATCACAGGACACGGGGCAGAGGCAACTTTGTCTCTACGCCAACTCAGTCCCATCAGAGAGCGAGCGCTACCCACTTCTAAATAGCAATTTTGTCATTGAAGAGAAAGGGCAAGACCACTAGAACTGTCCATCTTATTTTCATGTATATGTGTTCATTAAAGCATGAATGGTGTGGAACTCTCGCCACGCTATATGTAGTATAAAGAACAGTAGGTTTACATTCATGTCATTCCAACTTCCCAGTTCAGGAATCCCAAGGAAAGCCCTAGCACTAATGTAAATACACAACACACACACACCCTGTACCCGATACAACTGGACATTGTCCGCGTGGTTCCTTTCCCAGCCACTTCTGACTGCTGATTCTCCCCTTCACGTTACCCAGTGAACATCGTTCAAGAACTCTGGGCTGCTACCCAGAAATCGTTTTACCCTTGGCTCAATCCTCTAAGCTAACCCCCTTCTACTGAGCCTTCAGTCTTGAATTTCTAAAAAACAGAGGCCATGGCAGAATAATCTTTGGGTAACTTCAAAACGGGGCAGCCAAACCCATGAGGCAATGTCAGGAACAGAAGGATAAATGAGGTCCCAGGCAGAGAATCATACTTATCAAGGTTTTACCTGTGCATTACTAATAGGCCTCTTTAAGAGTTAGTTTCTTTGGGATTGCTATGAATGATACCCTGAATTTGGCCTGCACTAATCTGATGTTTACACGTGGACACACAACGTGCAAATCAATGAGTACGTTTCCTGGGAAGTGTCTAAGAACACCAAAAAGGGATCCATACATTCAGTGTTTATGGAAGGAAGGAAAGAAAGAAGGAAGTGAAGAGGGAGAAGGGATGGAGGTCACACTAGTAGAATGTAACTGTGGAAAGGAGCACATCAGGCCGGGCACGGTGGCTCAGGCCTGTAACCCCAGCTACCTAGGAGACCAAGGTGGGAAGATCTCTTGAGGCCAGGAGTTTGAGACCAGCCTGGGCAGCATAGCAAGACCCATCCCTACAACAAATTAAAAATTGGCTGGATGTAGTGGCATATGCCTATAGTCCCAGACACTCAGGAGGCTGAGGCAGGAGGATTGCTTGAACCCAGGAGTTCAAGGCTGCAGTCAGTCACGATGGCACCACTGCACTCCAGCCTGGGCAACACAGAAAGACCCTGTCTTTAAGGAAAAAAAGAAAAGAAGAGCATACCAGCAGTCCTCAAACATTAATCAAAATCTTCAGCATATCAGAACCACCTGGAGGCCTTGTTAAAGCAGTTCGCTGGGCCCGTCTCCAGAGTTTCTGAGTCGTCAGTCTGGAATAGAGCCAAAGGTTTTGCATTTGTAACAATTCCCAGGTGCTGTTGCTGCTACTACTATTCCAAGGAACACACTTTGAGAACCATTGTGCTATCGCTCTGCACACCCACCCACTCTCAACTCCCACAAAAAAAATCAACTTCCAGAGCTATTTCGGTGGAAGTCCTGGTTCCATATCTGGTGTCAGATCTCCCCTCACGAATCAGTTGAGTCAGCATTCTAGCTCAATATCATCACATGGTTAAGATTAACGAAAATTATTCATTCAGGAAACTATCAGCCAGTTTTCATTTCTGAAGGGGCAGGAGAGTGTTATGAAAAATAACGGGCAGTTTTCAGCAGGGTCCAGATTCAGATTAAATAACTATTTTCTGTCTGTTCTGTGACCAACCACATACAAACAGACTCATCCATGCACCCTCCCCCTCCGCCTTCAGGTATATGTTTTCTGATTAAAGTTGAGAAGAATCTCAGACCAGAAAAAAAATATATCTATATTTAAATCTTACTTGAGTAGAATTGAATTACTCCTTTTGGGTGTTGAGGGGTCTATAAGATCAAAACTTTTCCATGATAATACTAAGATGTTATTGACCATTTCACTCTCCTTCTCTCAAAAGTGTATGGTGGAATTTTCCAGAAGCTATGTGATATGTGATGATGTCATCACTCTGCTGTTAGCATACAATCAATTTATTGCTATTGTTTATAAAAGAATAAATGATATTTAAAAAAAACTCTTGGTTTTTATTATAAATATGATAAGTATTGCTAGCTATAATTTACATAACCAAAAATGCTTTATAGTTTTTTGGGGTTTTTTTGTTTTGTTTGTTTTTTGAGATGGAGTGTTGCTCTGTTGCCCAGGCTGTAGTGCAGTAGCACAATCTTGGCTCACTGCAGCCTCTGCCTGCTGGGTTCAAGTGATTCTCCTGCCTCAGCCTCCCAAGTAGCTGGGACTACAGGCACCCACCACCAAGCCTGGCTAGTTTTTGTATTTTTAGTAGAGATGGAATTTCACCATGTTGGCCAGGCTGGTCTTGAACTCCTCACCTCAAGTGATCCACCCACCTTAGCCTCCCAAAGTGGTGGGATTACAGGTGTGAGCCACAGCACCCAGCCTGGTATCCTCCATAGGTTTTAATAGTTTTAAATAACATGAAAAGGTCCTGTCAAATGGCCAACAAGCATATCAACATCACTGGTCATTTCAGAAATGCAAATCAAAACCTCAATGAGATACTACTTCATACACATTAAGATGACTTTAAGAAAAAGACTAGGAATGCTCACAGATGGCTGGTGGCAATGTCAAAAGGTGCAGCCACTGTGCAAAACAGAGTCTGTTTTGGCAGTTCCTCAAAAAGCTAAGCATAAATTTGTCCTATGACCCAATTCTATTCCTAGGTACACACCCAAACAACACAAAAACATGTGTCTAAACACAAACTACGACTGTTTATAACAGCATTATTCACATTCACCAAGAGGTAGAAACACCCAAATACCCAACAACAAATGAATGGATAAAGACCAGGCGTGGTGGCTCACACCTGTAATCCCAGCACTTTGGGAGGCCAAGGTGGGCAGATCACTTGAGGCCAGGAGTTAGAGATCAGCCTGGCCAACATGGTGAATCCTCATCTCTACTGTCTCTACTAAAAATACAACAAATTAGCTGGGCATGGTGGCACGCATCTGTAATCCCAACTATGTGGGAGGCTGAGGCATGAGAATCCCTTGAACCTGGGAGGCAGATGTTGCAGTGAGCCGAGATGGTACCACTGCACTCCAGCCTGGGTGACCAAGGGACTCTTTCCTCCAAAAAAAAAAAAAAAAAAGAATGGCTAAGCAAATCATGGTATATCCCTACCAGTGGAGTATTAGCCACAGGAAGGGATGAAGTATTAATCCATGCTGCCATTTAGATGAACCTCAAAAACATTATGCTGAGTGAAGGAAGCCAGACACAAAAGGTCACTACAGTATGACTCATTTTATATGAAATATCTAGAATAGGCAACTCCATGGAGACAGAAAGGAGATAAGTGTTCGCCAGGGGATTTTTCTGGGGTGGTAAAAAAGTTTTGAAACTAGAGAGAGGAGGTAGTTGCACAACGTGTTGAACACATGACAGCCACTGGATTGTATACTTTATCATGGTTAATTGTGTATGTAAATTTCACCTCAACTTTCTAAAAAGGAGATCCCAAGACCAAAATATTTGAATATTGCTTATCTTATTCAAGATTCTCAAAGAAGGGTCCTCAGCCCAGAAGGATCCTCCTGAAGTCTTTATGGTGACTTTAGTATTCTATTAAGTGAATAGAATACTTTAGTATTCTATTAAGTGAGTTATCAGGAGACCGTGAATTTTTGTTTTCAAAAACTAAAATTAGCATATTACTAAAGTTTATGGAAGACTCCAATTTGGTATTCTATCAAGAATGTAAAATTTGCATAGCACCCAGGAAAGGCTGCTGTTCCTGATCCATCACCAGAACCATCGTGAACTGGTTTTAGTTTTTACTCACTGGTATTCCTTCAGCTAAATGATGAATTCCTGCCAGTGATTTTCATGGAGGGGTTGTGTTGGCTGGCTGCCAATGTGCATAATCAATTAATTTGCTGTGGGTTGAAAACCTGAACAAACTGAAAGTCAATAACTCTTCTTAGGTCTGTAGAAGTAACAGTACAGGGTAGCTCACTGTCCTCAATATGGGAGAGGCAGACGGGCTGATACAAGGAAATCACAACTTCCCGGAGCAGAAGCCCAGGAACAAACCCTGCTACTGGAACCAGCAGAGGGGCAGGAAAACCGAAACTGGGAACTGACAAATTGCTGGAGGCTCAGTGTGGACACTTCTGAGAGACGAAAATTTCAGGGGAGCAGCCCAGTCACAAGGGGTCCCCACTTTCATGACCTTTCCCTCCAGGAACTCAATGAGGTCTTCACAGTGAAGATGGGAGAAAAACTTCCTTGTGCTTTTGACAGGAGAAAGAGAAAAGGTAGTGTCGCGTGTGTCCGTGTGAAGAGAGTCCACCAACAGGCTTTGTGTGAGCAACAAGGCTGTTTATTTCACCTGGGTGCAGACAGGCTGAGTCCGAAAAAGGAGTCAGCAAAGGGTGGCGGGATTATCATTAGTTCTTATAGGTTTGGGATAGGCGTGCAAAGTACATTCTCAAGGGCAGGGAGAATATTACAAAGTACCTTCTTAAGGGCAGGGAAGAACATATTGTATCAGTTAGGGTGGAGCAGGAACAAATCACAGTGGTGGAATGTCATCAGTTAAGGCTATTTTCACTTCTTTTGTGGATCTTCAATTGCTTCAGGCCATCTGGATGTATACCTGCCGGTCATGGGGGATATGATGGCTTAACTTGGGCTCAGAGGCCTGACAGGTACCATTTTGAAATATGCCAGAGCATTCAGTTCTTGTCCAACAAGGCCTGCCCTCAAGGAAAGTATTTTCCTCACTATCTTCAATTTTACCATAGTCTAACCAACCTGAATTTTACCAGTGTCTAACCAACCTGAAAGAAGGGAAATAACCAACTCTAGCCTCTCTGCCCTTCTTGTCTCATCTAAGGGAGGAGGGGAATGAAAAGCACTTGTGAAGATCACAGTCCAGGGATACAGGCTTGCTGAAGACTGAGCCTAA